CTAAAGATTGAGCTAAATCTTGCTGCTACTCAATTGATTAAGTGTTTCAGTCCGCCTAATCAATAGTTGGGTAACAATAGATTTAGTATTTCAATTTTCTATTATTAATTTTAATTATTTTTCTTTTAATTAATAAAATTTAAATGTTTTAAATAATCACATTCTTTTTCTTACTAATGTGTTTTTATTTCAGTTTCATGTTGATAGTTTTTTATCTAAATTAGGATTTAATAACTATCACATAGAAATTATCTGATTACAAACTAACTAAAATAGTTTGAATCTTTCTTTCAACGTAACTCATCTCTCTACTTCACCATCAGCTAATTTGACCAAATTTGTTACTATTATTATTATTCTATTTGTTACATCTTTACATTTAAAAATAACTATTTGTATTGATTCACTTATCATCATAAATACTTATAACAAATTATCTTAAATAATGAAACGAATCTCAATTCTTAATCCAATTTTTAAATTCCAACATTTTCCTATTTGGCTCTTTCTCTTTAAAATTATAAGAGATAATAATCTGAATATCAACTTTATCAAAGTCACTGCATATTCAAAAGATCAACTTAATAATTAGGTTGACTACTTAGCAAAAATAGATGTATCTCCAATTTATTTTCAATTATAATCAATTGGATTCAAATATATTTTGCAATATCATAATAATCTCATTCTCTTTCTAATTAGACTACATTTAAAACTCCTTCAACAATCAGCTTAGGCTGATAGTCTCATTAGTCTACCACACTTCCTATAATATCAAGACGTTCACCTAGATTGAATGTTAACTTCATTCATGTTAAATAATAATGATTTTCTATTGACTAATACATTGCAGAATTATTCTATTTGAAAAAACAAATATCATCTCTTACTTAAGATGCTTTCAATTAAAGATACCTCCCTAAACTATTTTTAAAAAATTTGAATTTCAAGATATTTGAGATAAAACTATTTGTTTATAATAAATAAATATCTTTACCTAAACTTTTAATAGGTTTTCCTAAACTCAATTATATTTCATCAAGTTTCAGATTTAAAAAAAAAGTCATTTTAAAGGTTTTGAAATAATTTCTCAATTTTTAAGCTACATATTAAAATAGGTTTTGAACAGCATTATTACTTCCAACTATAACAGTTTTTTTTATACAATATTCAACTATCTTTACTAATGCTATATGCCTGAACTGTAATCTCACTAATGAATCTTTTAACCACATATAGGACTGTCTATTCAACTCCATCATGCTTATGTAACTATCTGATAATACCCAAAATCTTCTTCTTGACAAACTTTACAAATTTATTCTATATGATGAACACAATGACCTTCTTTTTCAAATCAAATAACTTGCTATCTGGTCTTCAACTAAAACTCTTATAATTTGTCAAAGGCCTCACTTTTACTGAACTCTTCACATTATCATCAAAAATAATGTACTATCTAAAGTTTTGCTTTTCTTAATTATCACAATTTATATGAGATTACTTGGACTATATAAAATAAAAGATGTGAATCTTTCAAATCTTGGATCAAATGTAACAACATTGCCTCAGACTATAAAACTAATAACAGTCTTTGGGCTTCATCAGGTTTTATCTTTATTCACATACTACTACTCCTATCTCTCCTTCCTCCTTTAACAATTCGGTTAACTATGGCTTCTCATGGTCAAATTTTTTGGTCAGGAAGTAACCACACCTCTTGCTAGATGGTTGGTTGGATTTTATTTTATGTAAAATCCTATTTAGTCTAGTTTAGTGTAAGATTGGTATTGATTTAGTTTAGTAATACTCTAGATAGATATTTTTATATTCTCTTATTTTACTTTATACTTGTATAATTTTGTGATTTAATAAAGATTTTATAAAACTTCCGCACTAAAAAAAAAAAAAAAAAAAAAAAAAAAGACGTATAACTATCAGAAAATTGGTTATTTCTTGTTAAAATTAGATTTGTAAAGGTAAAAAAAGGGGGATACAATACATGGGGTTATGGCCCGCAATAATAGACTTGTAATAAATGATATATGGAAACATTCCCATATGACGCTAATATTCGCATCGTTCATTAAATAACCACTATGTGCCCATACCCATGATCGTAAGCAGTAACCCGAATAAAATTTTGCTTCATTAAATTATTCATGCCAAATAAAGAAAGAACATAGTTAAGGGTGAGATTCGTAATCAAAGTTTAAATAAAAGAGAGATTTTCAATCGAACTTTTTATAAACAAAAATTATTGATAAATAGTTCATCTTTAATTGATACTTTTTATCACAAAGCTACTTTTTTATATATTATTATAACATCAGATAATTATTTGAATTAAATTCATTTTGCTAATATTGATTTAAATATTATAATTAAGTTAATAATAAGAATACACTTACTCATTACTTTATAATTCACTCATTGTTTCATTATTTTCTTAAATCCATCCTTGAAATATAAATATAACCAAATAAATAAAATATGAAATAGTAATATTTAAATAATTTTTGCGATATAACATTATGAATGTTGTGATGGTGGAAGTGGTTGAACACTATTTTGATCTGATGGTAAATCAGGCATAGGAACTTGAGGTGGTCCCTTTTTTTTTTAAAAAAAAAAATAATACATGGTTAATTATAAAACGATAAGTAAATAATGAAATATTTAAATGTATTACTTGAGTTATTATATCCCAAATCGTTAATTTTTTCTCTTTCATGCTCTCTTGAATCTGTTTTTCCAGATTCTCCATACTATTTTGATACATTTGATGTATCTCTGGTTTACGTCGTTTATAATCCAAATATGAATTATTGATATCATTATTAATTAATTTGATTTGCATCAATTTTTGTTCATATGGAGGTACTTGTTCTTGCTATTAAAGAAGAAACTAATTAAAATCTCTTGCGAAAAAAAGCAAATTAAATAAATAGATCACATATCACATACAATTTGAGTACCAAAGGCTGAAGCCCAACCTGCTAACCCTTTTTTCGGTTGTTTAAATTTTTTTTCCCATTCTACTCGTTGTTGTTCTTTCCATTGTTCTTCCCATTCAGCATAAAGTCTTGGAATATCTTTGCCTTTATATTGTGGCAACACTTGACGAACATCATTCACATAAAATATTGTGAAATCTATAAAGTTGAATTGATAAGACTTTAGTGTATCCTCAAAATAAATATTTAAATAAATAATATGAAAATTCATACGTTCAAGGAATGGTATGATGTCTATCAAAAAAGTATCATTAGGATCTCCTTTCCACGGAGGTACAGAAATTGCATTCTCGGGTTGCAATGAATAAGCATCGGGATTAGAGTCCATAATAATAACTTTTGAAAGATCACGATTCAGTTTTGAAAGGTCCTATATAATAAAATAACAATAGTAAATTAATATTGCCATCATCACATAAATATAAATTAATTTATACAAACCTTGACTATTTTCCCATCAATATATCTTGTCGATTCTCTATAAAGTCTATAAGGAACAAGACCAAACGGATCAAGTTTCATTAAAATCTGTTCAGCAAACTATAAAATAAAATTATAGAAATCAAGAAATATTATTCTTAACATTCTTTGAAGTAAAACTATAATCTTTCGTTTAACTGAAACGCATTAAAACTTACATTGAAAGGTTGAGATGTGAAAATAACCACTTCGAAAAGTTGCGCCACGAAATACAGAAAATATTCTACTCCAGGTCTTTTTGCCGTTCGCCAACCATTTTCTCTCTAAAATATTTTATAAAATTGAAATTTGTGAATTAATTTAAAATAAGATGACATTTGCACATACTCACATCCCAAGTTGAATAAATAAGAGTTTGGTCCAAATTAATTACTAACGTATATGGAGAAGGTGGTGGTAAAGCATCTTGATCCGGCAATAGCTTATCTGATGATGGTTCCGTGAAAAACTAAGAAAAAATTTTAATAACTTTAATAACTTTGAAATAAATACGAATGCTTAAATACTTACGTGAAAAAGATCCCTGAAGCGCGCCTCCACTCGTTTGTACCACGCTGTGAAAGTATCTAAATCTTTATACTATAAACAAAATAAGAATTAATTCGCATTTTAAAAAAGTTGAATAAAATAAACTTTTTCTTACCTGAGTTTCTCGATCAGATTCGAATGGACGCCCTGAATCAAATCATAGATTGAATTTAGCGTACTATCAATAATCAATCACAACGAATTTGTGAGATTTTTTTTTAATTATGTCAAATAGTTAAGAAATTTTATAAAATAATTTATACGACTCACCTGAGTATATGATAAATCCTACTCCCCAGATACCACTTGCATAACCTAATATCTTAACCACTCTTTTGGCTTCAGGGCTCATTGTATCAACATTAGAGCTCTTTGGTTTGCTTCGGGAATCTTTTTTTGGTAAGTTTACGATAGTGGGAGTTGTGGGGGCTGAAGGAGGAGGAGAAATTGTTGAAGTTTGTCTGCAAACAAAACTCAATTTTGATGTAATGGGACTTTTCAATGGACACGAATTAAGCGTTCGATAACGAAAATTTTCAACCCTTAATATGTACGAAAAAGTTGGTTGTGTAGTAAAAGTATGTTGACAATTTCGTGATAATACTTTTGGTGAATTCCATTTTATAATAGAACTTTTAGTTTGGAATAGAAAAGAACAATCGCGACGAGTTAAATCTGAAAGAATATTGTGAGATCTTAATTTTGATAAGGAAGAAGTCATAATTTTTAAGTGAAACGAAAAGCGAGGAGGAAAAAAAAAAGTATTGGAGATCATTAAAAAAATTATACTAATCTCGTATAATATGATTGGCCGATTGAATAGTGGATTTTATCAAAACTTGCGCCACATACGTTGATTATTAAGGTTCATTCCTTTTTTTTTTTTTTTTTTTTTTTTTAAAAAAAAAAAAATAATAATAATACTGGCTTGAATAATAAAATGGAGGATGATTTCTTTATTAACACATCTCAACCATCTCCACCATTCTCATCTTTCGGTGCAAGTTACATTCGTAATTGGCAGGTGGAAGGAGCATGTGCTCAACTAAATTTATCAAAAATTCAATTTAACGAATTCAAAGAACATGCCGATGATTGTATAAAACCTCCAAATAGCTCAATCGGTAAATGCGCACCCCCTAAATTTAGGTATAGATATCTAAAAGAAAGTATCGTTTTATATCTTTTATATAATGGGCAACTTTTTATACCGTTGGAAGCTTTAAGTGGCATTAAAAAAGTAAAAAGCAGGGAAATAAAATTGATTTTGAAAGAAGGTGAAAAAGATTTAATCGAATATAAGTTAAATAATAGTTATAGTAATGGCAAGAAACTTGTGATTCGAGAGAATTTACGAGAAGCACTATTTATATTTTTGAGGTTTCATAAAGATGTCTCCACAAAAGAGGTTGATATAGTAGGTTTACATATTGATTACCTTATTAACAAAAAAAATAACTCGAGAACTCCGGAAGGTGAAATCGTACAACGTTCAAGTTGGGGAAGCAATTGGGGATTGTTCAACAATGAAAGGAATGAAAGCTTCATTCAATCCAATGATGAAATGGTAATCAAATTTCATATTAATGATGAAATTCGAATTTTTCTTTTTGATGGTCATTCACAATATCAAGAAATCAAGGAACATATTGAAAAGATTTTCTGTTTGGAAACCATCAAGAAATTGAAATATAAAGATGATGATGGGGAATTTATTATAATGTCTAGTCAAGAAGAATTTTACACAGCTTTTTCTTTGTATTCAAAGAGTAATAAGTTAGAAATTTGGTATGCAAATTAAATCAATGAAATCAATGAAATCAAAAGTTATTTGAGGAATAAAATGAAAAGAAAAAGACAAAGCGAAGAAAATCGTTTTTTGACAATTTATAAACTTGCATTTGAATTTTTGATAAACGACTCTATTCTAGACTATCTAGAATATCCTCACCTATTATGCCAATGTACCATTACCAGATTTGTAATAAATAATACATAAATCTTTGACACGAATTCAAAAATTCACTTTTTGTATAAAACTCTCAAAAATATCCTATATGCAAAATACCCTTATGCAAATCAATAATTTGAGTTTTGCTTACCTTTCCTTTTTTTCGTTTAATACTCGATCTATACGCGCAGGCATTATACTGAAGCTAAATTCAATGAGACGGCATTTAATAACTCATGATAAATCTTCCGAGGGTAAAAGCGGAATAACTTTCGATGTGCACTCGGAATCGTATTCTGTTGACGGCTGTCTCGAGGAAGAACAGCAGGAGTTAACAACATTTCGGCCGAAGACGTGAGTTGTTTTTTTATCTTTTGCAAAATTCTTGGGAATTTTATATTTAATTGCGTATATTTATAGTAATGTGGAACAACCATTTAAGTATTATCTATGCTTTGATGTTGAAGCAACTTGTGTAAAAGGCGGAGGGTTTAATTATATGAATGAAATAATAGAATTCCCAATTCTTTTGCTTGATAGCAAATCATTTGACATTGTAAGGTATTATTAGTTTGGAGGTTAAGGTTATTATTCGAACGATTTTAACCGTTGTATATTTAATAAATTTCTATATTTAGGTTGATATATTTCATTCATACGTAAAGCCAAGTAAAAATTCGATATTGTCGGATTTCTGTAGAGAGTTGACCGGAATATCTCAGGTAAAATTTCAGGCCTATAAATTTACCACTTAATCAATAGATTACTTTATCATTTTAATTTTAACGTTTTTTTCGATTCTGGAATTAATAGTCAACGATAGATGCTAGTCCATTGTTTCCTGAGATGTTGGATAAATTCCAAGAATTTATGCACCGGCATAAACTCTTTTACGAAAACTCCTGTGCTTTTATCACAGATGGTATATGTTTAATCATTTTTTTAAAGCGGTTACTACGAACATAATATTTATAATAACTTTAATTATTTAGGTCCATGGGACATACGTGATTTTATCACAAAACAATGTTCAATTTCTAAAATTCCTAGGCCTTCATATTTTTCTCTTCCTTGGGTAGACATTCGATCACTTTATTCAGAATATTATAATTGTGGAAAGTGTAATATAATTCGTATGCTAGAAATTTATGGTCTAAAATTTGAAGGACGTGAACATTCAGGAATTGATGATGCAAAAAATTTAGTTAGAATTGCTAAGAAAATGTGGGAAGATGGTGCAATTTTTGAAACTAATCGTTGTTTACAAGCTTCTATTCATAGATCAAGAAGGCATAAAAGAGGAAGGGGATGTAAAAAAGTCATATAAGATTTCTTGATCAGATTGATTAGAATACATTAGTTATATGGGAGTGTTGCTCTAGTTCTGGGCCTTTCTGACCAAAAATGAGATTTTAATTCATTTTAATATATTATACAAGATCTTCAATTGGTCAAAAAATTAAATTATATTATGATAATAAAATAGAGAGTTATTGAACCTTGAAATTTTATTAAGTAAATCTTAAAAATAGAATTTTTATTTATTGAGTCGGCTTATATCAAGTGATTTTCGACAAATTAATTATGTTATTTGTCATGTATTAAGGGTGTAATAAATAAACATTACTACTCAAAAATTCTCTGTTTCTCAGATACTTAATTCCATGTTTGTGTCTGCATCACATAACAACACTGACTACTGGTGATAAATTACCTAAGCTATAATTCTAACCTTAATCCTAATCCTAATCCTAATCCTAATCCTTTAACCCTAACCTAGTTTGGTATTCAAAACTAAAATTATATAGTTTAAACCAGTATGTAAAATCTATGTGCACAATGTGCACATGTGTACATTAATTTTTTGTGTGCACATATTACATAACATAAAATGTGCACAAATTATTACTAAAAATAAATAAATTATGTATAAAAAAGGTAATTTTACATAAGAAAATGTTATGATTTTCTTATTTTAGTAATAATTAATCAATTTGTGCACATAAATTTTAACTTAGATTTTATACACTGGTTTAAACCTTCTGAAATTAGTTTAATTAATAGCAAAATTAGTTTTATTAATTTGAAATTAATTTTTTAGTTTAGAATAGCATCCTTACCCTAACCTTAATTAATATAATTATATCAACCAATTAGAATCTGAAGGTAAGGTAAATTGGTAAAATTATTTTATTTATAGTTAAAATAATACAAAATATCCTACAGTTTTCTAGTTTATGATTCTTTTAAATTTTCTATTCCTGAATTTGTTCTATATATCATTGATCATATGCTTTCAATAATAAAATATATAAGATTTTTTTTAAAAAAATAAAATAAAATAAAATAAATTGAATTTTTGATTATTTTATTAATTAAACTAATATTTTATTAATTGAATTGTGATTTTTAATTGGAGATCTATAATAGATTATCATTTGGTGTTATAAATTTTATAGATATTATTAAGCTTAGAAGGATTATAATTTTTTTGTATTTAATTATTTTAACTAGAAAAGACATGAATCTTAAATTACAGTGAACTCTTGATATAACGAATTCTAGGATCTGGATATCAACTTCGTTATAAGCTTATAACGAATTTTTTAAAGAATTTAATTGGCTAGTTCACTATAGTAAAGGTAATTTTAATATGTTTGATTTAAAAATTCGCTATATCAAGGGTTCGCTATATCAAGGTTTGACTGTACTAGTCAGTATTTTTAAAAACTCAATGTAGATTTGTTTATATAAATATTATGATGGCTTTCAACAGTTGATACTAAGTGATTCATCTTTGAATAAAAGGGCTTTAACCTATTATGAAATAAAAATTTTATGTATTTCACATATAGTTATACTCACAATTTCCTGAATCCTAAAACTTTTGAATATTATAAAAAGTATAAAAATTGTCTTATAGTAATAATAATTAATATAGATGGAATAAATAATAATTTTAAAAAAACATATTGTTAAAACACAAATAGAGGTAAATTATGATTAAATATGATAAAGTAAGAGGAACTTTAATAGAAGTTCGAATATATAAGCATCATCAAATTAATATATATTGATTAATGTTAATTAAATAGTAAAGTCTTTGGTCTTTTTTGAAGTTTTTTTTATGATATAGAAACTCAATAAACAGTTTTATAAATTATTCTCAAATTTTTAAATATATTTTAAGTTTAAGTTACTTAATTGAATGTGAACTTTTATTTAAGAATTCAAAGTAGATAATTTTTGTAAGCAGAACTGCAAATACTATTAATGCTAACTTATTTATTAATCATAAATATTTTGTGTATTATTTAATTTCGTAAGTATAATTACATCTTTAACAGATTTGTTAAATAATATACTAAATATCATATCAAGATTTTACTAACTTTAATTTCTTAATTAAAGATGAGAAACATAATTAATATATTGTAACTTTTAATGTTGCAACGTACATTGCAATTAGTTTTGACCTATATATGTTGCAATTTATAATGTTACAACATATGTTACAACTAATTTTAGCTTATATTACAACATGTTGTAAATTTGAAATTAATTGCTACATCATCTTTAATCTCAATATTTCTTATTTTTTATTTTCTTTTAACTACAAAAAAGACATTTCACCTTTTTTACAATTACATAAGTATGTTATTTCAAACTTTTAATATAACATTTAAAAAAAGTTTTTTAATTTATAAAAAAATGAAAATACTAGTACTTAACTTTATAGATTACTAGAATTCTTTTCTTATTTTTGATTCTTATAAAGTTAATAAATTTTTTTACTTTTTAAAAATCTAAACAAAACATATTAAACATATTAACATTCATTTACTTTTTTACAAATAATAGATGTCTTCATTAAATTTTAAATAAAAAGTTATTCTTATAAAAAAGAAATCATTAGGATTATTTTCTTAAGATCTAAAGATTTTTTATTTTTAATAATTATTATTTTTTTATGTTTATTAAATAAAAATAAAAACAAATTTAAATTTAGACTTATTCTTTTAAATTTGAGTTTTATTATCTGATTTGGTTATATAAATAAACTATGACTTAAATCAGAAAACTAAATATTTACAATTTAAAATAAATTCAATATAACTAGCATCATTCTTTTTACTAAAGACTATACATATTTTAAAATAATATTATCAGTAATAGAAGATAAAGTAACAGAATTTTTAATGTAAATAAATTTATATTTAATATATTAAATTATTTTTAAAATATAATTTTATTTACATATTAAATAAATGAATAGAAAATTCAATATTTATCAATAATACAACTCAAAATAAATTATACTAATATAATAATTTGCAAAAATTTAATATATTTAAATATTAAAATAATTATTATTTTTTTTTTTTTTAGATAAAAAATGTAATAAATAAAAATGTGAATTTTGTAATCTAATATTTATTTTTTTAGATGTTTTTGAAGAAATCTATTGAATATTAAATCAACAAAAGTTTAATAGTATTAAAATATTTTTAAATTTTATTTATTATTATTATTTTTAATAACTTATCAATAATTTTGTAGATTGTGATTATTTTCAAGATTTAATTCTTATTATAAATATAATATTACTAAAAATATCAATCTATATAAGCAATCTAAAAAATAAAAGAAATAAAAATTTCAAGGAATATTTATTTTTAGTTAGATTCATATGTAAATCATATAAAAATCATATTGCATTTTTAGTAAAAGTGTATTAAATGAAAAGGAACAAGAGAATTTAAAAAGGTTATTTAAATAATATAATTATATATGTGAATCAAAATTATTTCTAAAAACATAATATTGTATTTGCTAAAGTAAATTTAACATTTGAATTTTATTGAATAGGTTTATTATACTTTAAAATTATATATAAGAATATTTGTATTTTTTTGTGAAAAAAATGATTTAACAAAAAAACTAAAAAATTTAATATAAGGATAGATATTTGTATATACTATGTATAAAGTATATAAAATAAATAAAAAAAAATGTGAATGTAAAATTAAAAGATAAGCAAAAAAGATATAATATATTATTATAAATTTATAATAAATTTTTAGTATAATTTTATATATAATCACATAATAATAAAAAAATTTGTCTTCTTCCTTTAAAAATATACATAATTATAAAAATTATTATATATAAAGATAAGTTCAAATCAAGTTAAATATATATTTAATATTACATATTTATATTTTAAAAAAAAAAAAACTTATACAACAAAATTTATTACTATTATATTAACTTTTTTTTAAAAAAAATGTGTTAGTTTTTTAGCTAAATAATAATAGAAATCATTTTTTTTATCAAAACAAATCCTATATAATAGACTATTAAAAATAATCTAAGGAATATATTTTGTTAAATAGTATACTAGATATTTGTATAATTGGCTATTATATAAAATATATTGTAAATGATAATATTAGAGAAAATTTAAAAAGACAAAAAAAAATCAACTGATATTATGATCATGAAAATTGATTATGATAATAAATTTGAGTTGATAATAAATATTGACTTAAAATAAAAAAATCAGAAGTAAAAGATAATAAAGGAGTTAGTAAAATTAATTTTATTGAAAATGTGAAATCAATGATACAGATTTTTTATGCAAGAGAAAAAAAGAAAAGATATTACCAATTTATGATTAGAAATTACTCAGAATAGATATAGAGTCAGGATATTAATTTTAGGCTATTTTTTTAATATGTTTAAAAGGTTAATCAATCTAAGTGATAGAGATTTTATAGATTAAATTATTGTATAAAAGCAAAAAGGTTTTTTTATGTTATTTGCTTATAGGAATTGGAAATAAATATATCAGCTCATTAAGAAAAAAATTGCAATATAATATTTTTAGATCATTCAAATATATATGATTAAGCTATTGATTTCTTATTTATATGTAATTAAGTTCTATATTAAGAGAAAATCAGCATGAAAAAAATGTTATATCTTTAATTTATAAGAATAATGTTATAAAAGAGCTTCAGAATAATATAATAGTTATAAATATTGATGATTATCATAATATTTATAGTTTAAAAATGCCAATAACTATCTCTACTAGTACTGTTGCTTATATAGCTACTATTCTTGCTATTTCTATATTTATAACAAATTTAATTTTAAAGAATATTATATATATATAAATGTAAATCAATATAGTATACATAATCTATTACTTATTAATAGTAATTTTTTGATTTTTCAAATAGAAAATTATCATATAACTTTATTTTCTCAATCATTTAATAATTAATTTATAGAAGAATTTTCTTATTCTAAAGAAGATTT